TGACTGTGCCCAGCTTGGGAGCCACCACGATGCCACCGACGCCTGCAACCCAGCCACTCTCCATGAGCTCCTCGGGCGTCACCTGCCAATCCGCACTGAGGATGAAGGGAAGCCCAGAGCTCTTGACTGCCTGACCCATGTCGCAGAGGATACGCCAGTTCCTTTCACTGAGATCCTCGGAGTCGTGCAGATACATGGTGCCCATCAGCACTCCTCCTTTCGGACCATGGCTCAAGTGCAGCAACGAAGCTCTGGCTGGGCAAATGCAATGAGAACGGCCCTCTAGCTGGCTGAGCCCATAGCGAGCGGGCGTGGCTACCATGGTGCCACCAGAGAGGCCCGCCAAACTGTCTGAACCACCATCGACGGCGCCAGCACGGACGGCGGGATTGATGGCTGCCTTCCAATTTGTTTTGCGCAACGCCTGCTCCTGTGCGTCACGCTGATGCTGCGGCACTTTGTGCTCCTGCACAAGCGCCAAGTCACAATCATACCATTCATCAGATTGCCGGAGCAACTCTAGCCCAAGCATGCTCGTCACATTCGCCGTGAGGACTGTCAAAGGGCGGCGCTGCGGGCTACCCCCAACTGCGGCGGGACGTAGTAGGTGGAGCGCATCTTCTTGAGCGCCTGGCCGAACAGCTCGATGGCCCGCTGCTTGACAGCCCGCTTTGCGCCCTCATCGAGGTCCATGTCATCGTCGTCGCCGACTGCACTGGCACAAGCTTCGAGCAGCTTCTGCTCGTTGCGGCTTGCCCATGCACGGGCACGCACATCATGGTCAGCACCACCCACAGGACCTGCATCAGGCGGCGCATGCTGCCCTGCACCCGCTGCCCCCGCTGCTGCGAGGCCGCATCCCGACGGGAGGCCCGCGCTGGCGGCGCCAGGCTGGGCACCGCCAGCAGTGGCGGTGCCAGCGGGCGCCGCAGGGGGGGGGTGCTGGGCCTGCGCGGCCTTCGCCTGCAGCTCCTGCTGTGCGTGTGCCAGCTGTGCCGCCACCTCCGTGAGCTTTGCCTCGAGCTCGGTGTCGCCGAGCAGCCTTGCCTGCTGGAGTAGCCCGTCGCACTGGCCAGGCGGCGTGCCAGGCGCAGCGGCGGCCGTGCCGCCCACGCGCGCCAAGGCTGCTGCCCCGCGCGCGGCCGCCTCCTTCTGCTGCTGCTGGAGCTCCTCAAGTTCGACACCGACCTCTGCTGCCCGGCGGACAGCACGTTGCAGATTCTCCTGCGCTTTGTCGAACTTCTTCTGGACTTTGCCGAGCCGATCCGTGAGAACGTCGCTCTCCTTCTGCGCTGCCCTTGACACCAGCTGCGGATCGCCCGAGAGGAGACCACGCTGGTGCATGATGCGGTCCCGCGCCGACTGCGTGAGCGTGCTGGCCACGGCCTCATACGCAGCGGGGTCCATGGCGGCATAGGCACGGATCTCATCGTCGGTGAGGGGCGGAGGTCCCTTCGGCTTGGGCGCACGCACGGACGGGGAGACGCCACTGGCCCAGACCCCGCGAGGCTGGACCTCGCGCTGACTGGGGCCTCCTTTATCCTTGCCGCACCGAAGGCATTGATCACGCCACTCATAGTTATACTTGTACTTGCACTGTTTGTTGGGACAAGACCAACAAGACTGCTGCCAATATACCATCTCGCACCCTCTGAGGGTGCGACACACGCCGTAGGTACACAAAGGCGGTGAGGGATGAGACCTCAATGCAGTCTCGAGGTGTGAGCAGGTGGGGCCGCGGATCCCCTTGCCAAAACAACTCCGGTCCTGAGCAAACCGCTACGGACTTGAGCCAAAATGGCTACGGACTCCTCCTCCTCCTCCTCCTCCTCCTCCTCCTCCTCCTCCTCCTCCTCCTCCTCCTCCTCCTCCCCCTCTCGAGGAGCACCCCTCAGATCCCTCCTCCTCAGCTCCCTCCTCCTCATCTCCCGCGGGGGATCTGAGGAGGGAGCTGAGGAGGAGGGAGGAGGAGGGAGGAGAGGAGGAGGAGAGGAGGAGGAGAGAGGAGGAGGAGGAGAGGAGAGGAGGAGCAGGAGGAGGAGAGGAGAGGGAGAGGGGAAGGAGGAGGAGGGAGGAGTGAGGAGAGGAGGAGAGGAGGAGGAGGAGGAGGGAGAAGGTAGGAGGAGGAGAGGAGGAGAGGAGGAGGAGGAGCGGAGGAGGAGGAGGAGGGAGGAGGGAGGAGGAGGGAGGAATGAGGCGGGGACGAGGAGGGAGGAGGGGATGAGGAGGAGGAGAAGCAGGAGGAGGAGGAGGAGAGAGGAGGAGGAGGAGGAGAGGAGGAGGAAGAGAGGAGGGAGGAGGAGGAGGAGGAGGAGGAGGAGGAGGAGGAGGGGAGGAGGAGGAGGAGGAGAGAGAGGAGGAAAGGGAGGAGGAGGAGGGGGGCAGAGGGAGGGAGGAGGAGGAGGGAAATCGTCGACTCCCCAGGAAAGTATGGGAAAACTGGGACTGGGGGGGGGGAAGACCAAGGCACAGAAACTAGTTATGGGAAAACATGGGGGGCATCTCTTCTTTTTATTTGTGTGTATCTATTCGTGTGTCCTGGGGCCCCTTCAAGCGTCGACGTTCCCTCCTGGCTGCCGGGCGGGCGTGGTCGAGCCGCGGCCGCCGCAGGCTGCCCCCGAGGAGCTGTCCGAAGCGCGCGCCCCTGCGAGCAGCGGGCGCCCGCGGAGCGCTCTCGGCTGCCGGGCAGCCTGGGCCGGAGTGGCCTGAGCCAAAACGGCCACGGACTCCTCCCTCCTCCTCCACCTCCTCCACCTCCTCCTGCTCCTCCGCCTCCTCCTCCTCCTCCCTCCTCCCACCTCCACTCCTCCTCCTCCTCCCCTCCTCCTCACACCTCCTCCACCTTCTCCTTTTCCCTCCTCCTCTCCTCCTCCTCCTCCTCCCCCTCCACCTTTCTCCGTGCCTCCTCCTCCTCCTGCTCCGCCTCCCTCCTCCTCCTCCACCTCCTCCTCCTCCTCGCTCCTCCTCCTCCTCACGCCCTACTCCCTCCACCTCCTCCTCCGCCTCCTCCTCCCTCCTCCGGCTCCGCCTCCTCTCCCTCCTCCTCCCTCCTCCTCCTTCAACCGTCCTCCTCCTCCTCCTCCTCCTGCTCCTCCTGCTTCTCCTTTTCCTTCTCCTGCTCCTCCTCCTCCTCCTCCTCCTCCTCCTCCTCCATTCCTTCTCCTTGTAAATAACTTCTCCCTGTCTCACCCCGAGGCCAGTTTTTAGGGCGGGCCGGGCGTTTCGTTTGAGATTTCCTCCCCATGCATGATTCTGAAGCCAAAAAAAGTGACAGAAGTTTCACAGATGGAGGGCGGGTCGTTTTCAAAATGTGGCTCTCGCCTCAGCGCCGCGCGCATTCGCTTTAAACATTTGCAAGAGCTTCATGGATTGAGGGCGGGTCGGTTTCACAATGAGGCTCTCGCCTTAGCGCCGCGCACATTCGTTTTAAACATTTTCAAGAGTTTCACGGATTGAGGGCATGTCCTTTTCAAAAGGTGGTTCTCGCCTTAGCGCCGCGCACATTCGTTTTAAGACATGTGCAAGAGTTTCACGCAGTGAAGGCGGGTCGTTTTCAGCATGTGGCTCTCGCCTTAGCGCCACGCACATTCGTTTAAACAAATTACCCGAGTTTCACGGAGTGAGGGCGGGCCGTTCTCAACATGTGGTTCTCGCTTTAGCGGTGCGCACATTCGTTGTAATACATTGGAAGGACTTCACGGATTGAGGGCGGGCCGTTTTCAACATGTGGCTCTCGCCTTAGCGCCGCGCACATTCGTTGAAACAAAATTGCAAGAGTCTCACGGATTGAAGGCGGTTTCTTTTCAAGATGTGGCTCTCTTCTTAGCGCCGCGTACATCCATGATCAACGTACCAGAAATTGCGTTTTGGAAGGATTCAGGAGTATGCGGGCGCAACAGTTATGTTGATTCGTTGTGTTGAAGTCCCCAAAATGGCGTTTTGGTGCGATTCTGGATCGTCAAGACGCAGCAGTCAGATTGACACGTGGCGTTGAAATCCCGAGAACAATGTATTGGCACGCTTCAGGATCTTCAAACTGTTGCTTTCCAGCGATGCAGTTCCCTCAATGGAAATGAACCGTTGTAGGGGCCTCTGAAGGGGGAGCTTGGAGGGAGGGTTAATACTAACATCCTTGATGACTCTTGGGTTTCCAGTGGTCCTCCTTCTCCTCCTCCTCCTCCTCCTCCTCCTCCCCGTCCTCCTTCTCCTCCTCCTCCTCCCCGTCCTCCTTCTCCTCCTCCTCCTCTTCCTCCTCCTCCTCCTCCTCCTCCTCTCCCTCCTCCTCCTCCTTCTCCTCTCCTCCCTCTCACCGTCCTTCTCCTCCTCCTCCTCCTCCTTCTCCTCCTCCTCCTCGCCCCTCCTCCTCCTCCCCCTCCTCCTCCCCTCCTCTTACCTCCTCTCTACGCTCCCTCCTTTCCTCCTCCTCTTCCTCCTCCTCTTCCTCCTCCTCTTCCTCCTCCGCCGCCCCACCAAGTCGAGGAGCCACCCCTGTGAAGGGGCGCCCTCGCTGTGGCGGCGGGCCTCTGGGTGTCCGGCTTTCGCTCATCCCGCCGGCTCTGCCCAGGGCTCTCTTTCGCCGCCCGCGGCGCCTGGGACAGCTCCCTCCTTGCCTCCATCCCCTCCTTGTCTCCATCCCCTCCTTGCCTCCGTCCTCTTCGCTCCCTCCTTCCCCTGCTTCCCCTCCCTCCCCTTCCTCCTCGTCTTCTCCCTCCTCTTCTTATATTTATCCTCCTCCTCCTCCTCCTCCTCCTCCTCCTCATCCGGCTGCTTCTCGTCGTCCCGTCCCTTCCTCCCTCCGCCCCTTCCTTCTCTCATCCCCCCCCTACGCATCCCTCCTACCTTTCTACTTTCTCCTCCTCCTCCTCTTATTACCTCCTCCTCCCTCTCACCCCCCTGCTCCCTCCCCCCCCCTCCCCCCTCCCCCTCCTCGGACACGAGCGTGGCCAGAATCGAGCGTCGTGCAGCGCCAGGGCGCGTGCAGAGTAGGGGCGGGGCCTCAGGTCGGAGCGCTGCTCGTCTACGACGTCACCAGGCTCCGCGGCCCCCTCGCCGCAGTCGCCAGCGCGCTTGCCGCACCTCCTGCGCCGCACCGCTCGCTGCCGCCGCTGCCGCCGGGCCCCCTCGCGCGCAGGACAGGCCGTCGCTCTGGGCCCCGCTGCGGGGCGCCTTCCTCGATAGTCATGCACTGGCGCCTCCGGCGCCAGGGGGTCCTCCTCCTCCTCCTCCTCCTCCTCCTCCTGCCCCTCCCCTCCACCCTCCTCATCCTACGTCCTCCGTCCGCACTCCTCACTCCTCCTCCTCCTCTCCTCATCTTTTTGTTCCACAAAATACACAATGTGAAAATACTCTCCCACTTCCCCTGATGGCGTCCCGAAGATATCCGACCCCCCCCGCGTACTGTTTTTTTACACACAGGATTCCCGGGAAACGGGTTTTCGCCTGCGTTTTTTTTCAAAATGCTGCTCTCGCTGAGGCGCCGGCCTCATTTCTGCTCCCGAATCGTTCCGAATCGTGCTCCCGCTGCAGCGTGGGCATCATTTTCGGATCGGTGTTTGGCCTCCGTCGTTCAGGATGGCGTTCTCGCCCCAGCGCGGGCCTCTTTCTCGCGCGCCCATCCGCCCGCCACCACTGCGCCGCACCACCACACCACCACCAACCACCATCACCACCACCAACACCACCACACCACCACCACCACCACAACCACCACCAGCACGCCACCACCACCACCACCACCGCACACCACCACAACCACCCACCACCACACACCACCACCCACACCCAAACACGCACACACGCCCGCAGCACGCACGGCGCACCCACCACCCACTACGCACGGCGGCGCGCGGAGCCACAGGTCCGCTTACGACACGCGTCCGCGGATAGAGAAAATCAGGGCGCCATGGTAAGGGAGGGGAGGGAGGTGTAAGGACGTCAGTATGACGCGAGGCGCACCTAGGATTGTCACTCTGCACTACTCACCACAGAGATTGAACTCCATACTCCCGCCCCGGGAAAAAAAGAGCGGAAAAAACCCGGCTGCCGCCCTACTAGCACAAAACGCTCACCGACCCTCTAGCTCGAAGAAGAAAAACCACATAAGCACAAACTCTTGGCGCTCCGCGCGAATGTCTTGGATCCGCGCCTGGGCCCCCCGGCGGCGCCTCCGGCGCCGCCCCTGGCGCGCTCCGCGTGCCAGAGAAGAGGGTCCATCGCGGATCCTTGAAATCCGCGCGGAGCGCCAAAAGTTTATGTTCACGTGTTTTTTGTTCGTTCTATTCGTCCGACCCGATCCCTGCTGTCGGCGCCACCCCAACACACTTATACCACATGTGCGTCGCCCCCTCAGGGGCGACGCGCGCACCGAGAAAGCTTATGGTATATGCGTCGTGGCGGGCGCTTTCTGCCCACACCGCTCGGGAAACGATATACGACAAGATGGGTATACTAGATGTTCGGGTCGGACGCGCGCCTCCAAGGAGGACATATAGTATTACAGTGCCGTTTTTAATACATGCTCCGAGTGCGGATCATGTATTAAACATGCAGGGAATTAGTATTAAAAGCAACGGTGACTTCACGCATACATTTTTTACCTAACAGCGAAGACTGATAGGTTTATAATGGAGTCAAAAGAGAGCATCTGATGACTCCCCAGGGGGGTTCTGGGCGGGAGCCGGACAGGCGAGGACCGGGCTCGTTTTAAGCAAACAGTCACACACTTCGTGCTCTTCGAGTTCCCAGAACTCCATTCCCGGGCCACATTTTGAATGCCCGGAGCCAACTGTAGGCCACTTCGTGCTCTTCGACTTCCCAGAACTCCATTCCTGGGCCACATTTTGGATGCCCGGAGCCAACTGTAAGCCACTTCGTGCTCTTCGAGTTCCCAGAACTCCATTCCCGGGCCACATTTTCGATGCCCGGGGCCAACTGTAGGCCACTTCGCGGTCTTCGAGTTCCCAAAACTACATTCCCGGGCCACATCCTCAATGCCCGGAGCCAACTGTAGGCTACTTCGTGGTCTTCGAGTTCCCAGAACTCCATTCCTGGGCCTTATTTTGAATGCCCGGAGCCAACTGTAGGCCACTTCGTGCTCTTCGAGTTCCCAAAATTCCATTCCTGGGCATGACTTTGAATGCCCGGAGCCAACTGTAGGCCACTCCGTGGTCTTCGAGTTCCCAGAACTACATTCCTGGGCATGATTTTGAATGCCCGGAGCCAACTGCAGTCCACTTCGTGTTCTTCGAGTTCCCAGAACTCCATTCCCGGGCCACATTTTGAATGCTGAGGCAGGCTGAGGCTGAGGCTGAGGCAGGCTGAGGCTGAGGCAGGCTGAGGCTGAGGCCGAGGCGGAAGGCAGACTGTGGCTCAGGCTGAAGCAGGCTGAGGCTGAGGCTGAGGCTGAAGCAGGCTGATGCTGAGGCAGGCTGAGGCTGATGCTCAGGCTGATGCATGCTGAGGCTGAGGCAGGCTGAGGCTGAGGCCGAGGCTGAAGGCAGACTGAGGCCGAGGCTGAAGCAGGCTGAGGCTGAGGCTGAGGCTGGCTGAGGCTGAGGCTGAGGCAGGCTGATGCTGAGGCAGGCTGAGGCTGAGGCTCAGGCTGATGCAGGCTGAGGCTGAGGCAGGCTGAGGCTGAGGCCGAGGCTGAAGGCAGACTGAGGCTGAGGCTGAAGCAGGCTGAGGCTGAGGCTGAGGCAGGCTGAGGCTGAGGCGGAGGCAGGCTGATGCTGAGGCAGGCTGAGGCTGAGGCTGAGGCTGATGCAGGCTGAGGCTGAGGCAGGCTGAGGCTGAGGCTGAGGCTGAAGGCAGACTGAGGCTGAGGCTGAGGCTGAAGCAGGCTGAGGCTGAGGCTGAGGCAGGGTGAGGCTGAGGCTGAGGCAGGCTGATGCTGAGGCAGGCTGAGGCTGAGGCTGAGGCTGATGCAGGCTGAGGCTGAGGCAGGCTGAGGCTGAGGCAGAGGCTGAAGGCAGACTGAGGCTGAGGCTGAAGCAGGCTGAGGCTGAGGCTGAGGCAGGCTGAGGTGAGGCAGGCTGATGCTGAGGCAGGCTGAGGCTGAGGCTGAGGCTGATGCAGGCTGAGGCTGAGGCAGGCTGAGGCTGAGGCCGAGGCTGAAGGCAGACTGAGGCTGAGGCTGAAGCAGGCTGAGGCTGAGGCTGAGGCAGGCTGAGGCTGAGGCTGAGGCAGGCTGAGACTGAGGCTGTGACTGCGACTGCCGTTGCCACTGCGACTTTCATCGCGAATGCGACTGCGATTGCGAGAACAGCAGAATTCTACAACTGGATTCTCATGTGAATCTTAAGGGGAATGCTTCCAGACATGCTCCTACACATCGCTGTTAGGTTGCTTTGCTGGGATAATTTTCAAACATCAATCATAAACTATATGGGATTTTACCTAACAGCGAAGACTGATAGGTTTCTAATGGGGTCAAAAGAGAGCATATGATGACTCCCCAGGGGGGTCTGGGCGGGAGCCGGACAGGCGAGGGCCGGGCTCGTTTTAAGCAAACAGTCACACACACTTCGTGATCTTCGACCTCCCAGAACTCCACTCCCGGGCCACATTTTGGATGCCCGGAGCCAGCTGTGGGACACTTCGTGCTCTTCGACTTCCCAGAACTCCATTCCTGGGCCACATTTTGGATGCCCGGAGCCAACTGTCTTCGACTTCCCAGAACTCCATTAGCCACATTTTGGATACCCGGAGCCAACTGTAGGCCATTTCGTGCTCTTGGACTTCCCAGAACACCATTCCCGGGCCACATTTTGAATGACCGGAGCCAACTGTAGGCCACTTCGTGCTCTTCCACTTCCCAGAACTCCACTCCCAGGCCACATTTTGAATGCTCGGAGCCAACTGTACGCCACTTCGTGCTCTTCCACTTCCTAGACTTCCAAGACTCATCATCTTCATCATCATCATCATCATCGTCGCCGTAGCCTTCTTGGCTACAGCCCTGCTTTCGAAGATTTCCTTTCAAAGGAACTGCGCAGCGCCTACTCGTTCATCGCTCCTACTCGTCACTCCTCCCATCACTCCTACTCGTTCACTCCACACACTACAACTACTACTTCACTGTTACCACCACTACCATCACTACTACTTCTACTGCTACTACTATTGTTACTATTACTGCTGCTGCTGCTGTTGCTGCTGCTAGTGTAGCTATTGCTACTGCAACTACTGGCAGTGCCACTGCGACTGCCGCTGATGTTGCCACTGCGACTGCCACTGCGAATCCGAATGCGACTAAGAGAACACCAGAATTTTACAACAGCACTCTTACATTAATACCGCAGGCAATGTTTCCAGCTATGCTTCTACACATCGCTGTTAGGTTGCTTTGCCGGGATAATTTTTCAAAAATCATTCATGTATTTTAAATCCCATATAGTTTAAAATCCCATGTGCAAGAAAAACTGCCTTGAAATATGTCCCTGTGCGTCCCATGCTGGGCGCGGCCTCGTGGCCGCGCGCTGGCCCGCACACGGCCAGCGCCCTCCTCCGGACGGACTCGGCGTCGGCCTGCGGTCCCTGTCGTCGTCCCCCCCCTCGCCCCCGTTCTTTCTCCCCCACCGCAAGGTCACCCTGTCGCTGTTACTGCTACACGTTGTTCCTTCCTCATTATTCGAAAGTGCTATGATTTTTTGGGGGGCCAAGATCCTTTCATCTCTACCTGTTCTGTCCCGGGCCTCTTCTTGGCCACCAGGGGGCCAGGAACCATGAGAAACGAGCACAATGAGAAGTGAGCACGCTTAGAAATGAACGACGTGTGCTCCCCCCATCAAGCGCGAGGCGCCTCTGACACCACTGTGCTGGCTCGGGGCACGCCTGCCCACCGGACACCACTGCCTCCCCCTCCTCCTCCTCCTCCTCCTCCTCCTCCTCCTGTTGAACCACTTGAACGCCGCATAGGACTCCCGCGCAGTCGCAAGAGGCCTAGCCAAAATACGACAAGAGAAGACCTTACCTCCCTTGGGGCACCTGGACGCTTCGTCCGAACACCGCACGGGAGCTGGGGTCCTTGCCTGC